TTTTGAGAAGATGGGCTAAGTGAGAATGCAGGAGGCCACAGGCCTCACTCGTGGCTTTTATGGGGCAGCGACAACCCATCGAGGAAGAGGTGGTGCTAAAGGGAACCACCATCTTACTTAATGGGAAACAGAAGTGAGGGAAAACAACTTGATCACTGGAGACCAAGGAGAGGAAACTACGGGAGGAAAACAAAAGAGGAAGTGTCCTTGCCCTGTGCCAAGTGAGTATGAAGTCATTATTAAAAGAATGCTTATTTATCAGGTTTTTACTACAACAATTAGAAAGAAAAAAAGAAATGGGGGGGGTGTATCTCAAAATCTCCTAGAGCATATGATTAAAAAAATAGATTCCCCGCCTTGGCCGGTTTGGCTCAGTGGATAGAGCGTCGGCCTGCGGTCTGAAGGGCCCTGGGTTTGATTCCGGTCAAAGGCATGTACCTTGGTTGCAGGCTCCTCCCCCGACCCAGGCCCTGGTCAGGGCGCCTACAGGAGGCAACCAATCGATGTGTCTCTCTCACATCGATATTTCTCTCTGTCTTTCCCTCTCTCTTCTACTCTCCCTAAGAAATCAATGGGAAAACACCCTCGGGTGAGGATTCACAAAAATCCAGGTTCCCCAATCCTGAGTTGAGGTCCGGGCGCCTGAGGTTCTACAAAGCACCGGGGGTCTCTGATGCCCACTGGGGGCTGAGGACCACACCCCTGGCCCTGCAGGTCCACCCGTGTACTCACCGTCCCCCTAGAGCCGTGGTTCTCACCCTTCGGTGGCAGCAAAATCATCCGAGGCTCCCAGCCTGCAGGCTCCAGCCACAGAGTGCGGGCAGGGGCGGGTCTGGACCGGCTCTAAGACCGCTCGTTCTCACAAGCTCCCAGGTGATGCCCATGTGCTCATCAGGGGCCCTGATTTGAGAACTCTGCTCCCCTGTCCTCCCTCTGCAACAAACCCAGGCCACGTGGGATTACAAAGCTTGGTGTTTCAATTAGATGCCCATGGACAGCACCCCCTCATTGCCAGTTCATAGCCACACTCTCCTGAATGGGAAAGGCAGCCTGCACTGAGGGTGCCTGAAGCACGGTCAGGCCAGCGGTAGAGATGGGGGCCACCCCAAAAGAGAGACCGTCAGATCACGCTGTCACCAATGTCAGAGGGCAGGAGGCCCCAGAGGCCACGGCTCACCTTCCAAAGGGCCAGGATTGTCCGGAGCGCAGTAAGAAGGCAATATCTTAGGAGCGGTACTGGAAGCTCATTGCTCCCATGAGCCCTCTCGCTTTCTTACTCTGCCTTGCTCAACGGGGCCTGGGCCTGAACTAGAATCACCTGGGAGCTATTGAAACACAGGACTCTAACGCAGTGGTTCTCAACCTTCTGGCCCTTTAAATACAGTTCCTTATGTTGTGACCCAACCATAACA